TTTTTAAATATTTTGACAAAGGGAGAAGTTTTGGGACTTTATAACAAGTGAATAATATAGATATTCAATGAGGATTTCTCTAATTTTTATTTATAGTTTTGGGACTTTATAACAAGTGAATAATATAGATATTCAATGAGGATTTCTCTAATTTTTATTTATAAACCCCCGGGCGGGTAAGCGGAGGTGTTGACGGCGGGCGAGGCGGCGGTGGTGGCGGCGACGGGAGAAGCGGCGGCATGGCCGGGCGGGTAAGCCGCGGTGGTGGCGGCGGTATAGGCGGGCGGTGGTGACGGTGGGCGAGGCGGCGGCGGGCGAAGCGGCGGCATGGGCGGGCGGGTAAGCGGAGGTGTTGACGGTGGGCGAGGCGGCGGCGGGCGAAGCGGCGGCATGGGCGGGCGGGTAAGCCGCGGTGGCGGTATAGGCGGGCGGTGGTGACGGCGGGCGGGTAAGCGGAGGTGTTGACGGCGGGCGAGGCGGCGGTGGTGGCGGCGGGCGAAGCGGCGGCAAGGGCGGGCGGGTAAGCCGCGGTGGTGGCGGTGGCGGCGGGCGAAGCGGCGGCATGGGCGGGCGGGTAAGCGGAGGTGTTGACGGTGGGCGAGGCGGCATGGGCGGGCGAAGCGGCGGCATGGGCGGGCGGGTAAGCCGCGGTGGCGGTATAGGCGGGCGGTGGTGACGGCGGGCGGGTAAGCGGAGGTGTTGACGGTGGGCGAGGCGGCGGCGGGCGAAGCGGCGGCATGGGCGGGCGGGTACGCGGTGGTGACGGCGGGCGGGTAAGCGGAGGTGTTGACGGCGGGCGAGGCGGCGGTGGTGGCGGCGGTGGGAGAAGCGGCGGCATGGGCGGGCGGGTAAGCCGCGGTGGTGGCGGCGGTATAGGCGGGCGGTGGTGACGGCGGTAAAGGCGGGCGGTGGTGGCGGTGGCATGGGCGGGTGGGTACGCGGTGGTATAGGCGGGCGGGTAAGCTTTTCTTCATAAGCTGATTAAAATAATCTCTCAAATCACGCATCTATTTTCCCTCACCACACGCTCGAAATAAACAAAAAAAAAAATCGAATTCACCTTTCTAGGTATACCCACTAGCCATTGATATTTTAGCGCCTTTTTTGTAAATCTCAAAAATTTTTATTTCTCTCTCTCTCTCTCTCTTTTATCATAAGATGGCTAAAAGACTCTTGCCAGTATTGTGAAGTAAAATGACACATATTTTATTAATCATATATATCTATTTGTATTTAAATGCGGGGTAAAAAAAATTACCGCTGTCTCACTTTAAATTACATAGACCTAGATTTTAGTACCCATCTCTAGCCAGGTTTAATAAATTGGAGCAAGTTTTTAGCATTAAAAGACAATAGAACATAAAAAAAAAAGAACCCTTGATAAACGTTTTCCTTTCGCGTTATACCTACAACAACAACAAAAAAAATCAATTCTAGGTATACCCTCTCGTCTCTAACACCGCGGTTTCAATAAAGGTTTTTGTTCGCGTTATACCTACCACAAGTTAAAAAAAAAAAATCACATTCTAGTTATACCTCCTCGTCTCTAACTCCGCCGTTTCAATAAAATGTTTTTGTTCGCGTTATACCTACCACAAGTTAAAAAAATATTCCCATTCTAGTTATACCTACTGCTCTTTATTCGAAAAAAACAAAATATTTATTCTTTGAAAATTATGTGTATACGTTTAATTTCTTTTTATTTCATAAATAACATGGTTTATTATTGATTTTAAAAGACGGCCTTAGAGGCCGAACGCCAGTAATTGTGTAAGGAAAATAGGCGCCAGTAACTAAGGGTTAACCCGTAATTACTGGCGTTTGGCTTGAAAGGCCGTGTGAAAATTTAAAATGTTTGCGAAATTTTCAAAATGCAATATTTTTCATCAAAATTTTAGGTAGCTTAATAAAATGCATTTATTTGAAGAACTTTTCATTTTAAGAGAAATCTATTTTGTATATCCCGAGTTATTAAATCGGCCTTTAAAGCCGAGCGCCAGTAATTACGTCACTGGGAATTTTAGCGCCCCTATTATTGGCCGTTTCACTTTTGGTTTTATAGACGTTCAAACGCAACAAATCAGTTGAGCATTCGTTTTTTATTAATCTTGTATCAATTATATGCATTCTAAATTGTGTTTTGTGATTGTAATTTTGTATAATATAATAGAAGTTCGGTTCCACTTTTGGTTTTTCAAAAAACAAAAATTTGGTACCCTATGTCCCTAAAATAGGAAAATATGTTATATTACTCTCCACAATGCATTTGACCACAACAATTGATCAAGAAACTGCTGAACAATAAAAGCCCGAGATAATCACATTTTATAATATGACCAAAGGTGGTGTAGATGTAGTTGATCAGACATGTATTCAGTTGGAAGAAGAACCAAAAGATGGCCCCTGTGTTTATTTTTCAACTTTTTGGATGTGGTTGCAATAAATTCAGCAGTAATTTATAAGGCTGTCAAGCAAGACGGCGGAATGGCTCGAAAAGATTTTATAAAGCAGCTTGCTCTACAACTAATGAGAGATGCCTTGAATATGAGAAATCAAGCCAAATATTTGTCAAGAGATCTGCAAGTATTAATTCAGAAGCATGCTGGAACTTCATCACTTGAGGTAGGCAAATATTTATTTGATATTCAAACGAAATATCAATAATATATGTTATCTAGGAATCCACAAGCGGCAGTCCTTGGTCCAAAAAACGCAAAAGATGCTACCTATGTAAAAAAGATCGTCGAACTGAAATGCAATTCAAAAAAAGCAAATAACCAATCTGCAAAGATCATTCTATTGAAATATGCTTGAATTGTGCACCTAATCTTGAATAAAATATTTCAGATAGAACTTTTTTGAATATATTTAGAGTATTTTTGATAGAAAGAGTTTCTTGTACATTTTCATTTAATTTTGTTTAGAGCTCTGTTTATTCGAAAAAAACAAAATATTTATTCTTTGGAAATTATGTGTATACGTTATTGATTTTAAAAGATGGCCTGAGAGGCCGAGCGCCAGTAATTGTGTAAGGAAAATAGGCGCCAGTAACTAAGGGTTAATATGGAAAAAAAAAGTCTTTATAATAAATTTTAATGACAAAGTTGTTTTTTTGTATTCCTCCATATTATTAATTTGAAAAATGGCTAGAGAATGCAAGACACTATTTTATACATATTTTATATTAAACAGGACTTTGTTCTTGTAGATGAATTTTAGGCAGTAGGCAACCTATGTGAAAGGTGAAGTGAAACAGCGGCGGCATGGGCGGGCGGGAAAGCGGCGGTGGTGGCGGGCGGCGGCATGGGCGGGCGTGTAAGCCGCGGTGGTGGCGGCGGTAAAGGCGGGCGGTGATGGCGGCGGGCGGGTAAGCGGATGTGTTGACGGCGGGCGAGGCGGCGGTGGTGGCGGCGGGCGAAGCGGCGGCAAGGGCGGGCGGGTAAGCCGCGGTGGTGACGGCGGGCGGGTAAGCGGAGGTGTTGACGGCGGGCGAGGCGGCGGTGGTGGCGGCGGGCGAAGCGGCGGCAAGGGCGGGCGGGTAAGCCGCGGTGGTGACGGCGGGCGGGTAAGCGGAGGTGTTGACGGCGGGCGAGGCGGCGGCGGGAGAAGCGGCGGCATGGGCGGACGGGTAAGCCGCGGTGGTGGCGGCGGTATAGGCGGGCGGTGGTGGCGGCGGCATGGGCGGGTGGGTACGCGGTGGTATAGGCGGGCGGGTAAGCTTTTCTTCATAAGCTGATTAAAATAATCTCTCAAATCACGCATCTATTTTCCCTCACCACACGCTCGAAATAAAAAAAAAAAAAAATCGAATTCACCTTTCTAGGTATACCCACTAGCCATTGATATTTTAGCGCCTTTTTTTGTAAATCTCAAAAATTTTAATTTCTCTCTCTCTTTTATCATAAGATGGCTAAAAGACTCTTGCCAGTATGGTGAAGTAAAATGACACATATTTTATTAATCATATATATCTATTTGTATTTAAATGCGGGGTAAAAAAAATTACCGCTGTCTCACTTTAAATTACATAGACCTAGATTTTAGTACCCATCTCTAGCCAGGTTTAATAAATTGGAGCAAGTTTTTAGCATTAAAATACAATAGAACATAAAAAAAAAAACCTTGATAAAAGTTTTCCTTTCGCGTTATACCTCGAACAAGTTAAAAAAAAAAAAATCACATTCTAGTTATACCTCCTCGTCTCTAACTCCTACGTTTCAATAAATGTTTTTGTTCGGGTTATACCTACCACAAGTTAAAAAAAAAAATTCCCATTCTAGTTATACCTACACGTCTCTAACTCCTACGTTTCAATAAATGTTTTTGTTCGCGTTATACCTACCACAAGTTAAAAAAAAAATTCCCATTCTAGTTATACCTACACGTCTCTATCTCCGCAGCATAAGTTCCAAAACTTCATTTTCAGCCTTTTATTTTCAATATGAATTTAAAAAAAATTATAGAATTTATCAATAAATAGTATAAATATCGTAGACTGATTATTAGTTTATAAATAATCAACATCTTTCGCCTAATATCCCCCCTGATATCTGTTCATGCCCAAAAGTACCCCCTATTATCTGTTCAGGTTTTTTCGTTTCACCTATTATGGTAGTGAGCAGTGTGCTCATTGAAGTCACCGAGCTGAGGCTTTGGCTGTCCAGGTAGCGTGCGGGGACGCGTACTCGAGCGTACGTGGCCCCATCGTTGTGCGCACCCTTTGGCATTACCAATGGCGTTCCTCGTTGGCTTACCGAGCGATTATTAACCTGGAGAAAGCGGTTATTTTACAGCGCGGTCGCGGGAGGCGTACCGGCTGGGTTGTGCGAACTCGCGTCTGGACGGATGCGTGGAAAGTGCCCGGACCAGTGGGTGTCGGGCTTTCCGGCGGAGGGGGTCAAGGGTGCGGTGGCCGCCACGGAGAGGCGGGCGCTGCGTCCCTAAGCGTGGTCCCGGCGAGGCGGCCCGAGGGCGTCTCGCGGCGGGGACTGGCGAAGGATACCTGGTTGATCCTGCCAGTAGTCATATGCTTGTCTCAAAGATTAAGCCATGCATGTCTAAGTACACGCCCTAGCAAGGCGAAACCGCGAATGGCTCATTAAATCAGTTATGGTTCCTTAGATCGTACACATTTACTTGGATAACTGTGGTAATTCTAGAGCTAATACATGCAATTGAGCCCTCGTCCCTTTTAGGGTGAGGGTGCTTTTATTAGACCAAGACCAAACGGGGGCAACTCCGATAGTCGTGGTGACTCTGAATAACTATGGCGGATCGCACAGTCCTAGCACTGGCGACGCATCTTTCAAGTGTCTGCCTTATCAACTTTCGATGGTAGGTTATGCGCCTACCATGGTTGTTACGGGTAACGGGGAATCAGGGTTCGATTCCGGAGAGGGAGCCTGAGAAACGGCTACCACATCCAAGGAAGGCAGCAGGCGCGCAAATTACCCACTCCCGGCACGGGGAGGTAGTGACGAAAAATAACAATACGGGACTCTAACGAGGCTCCGTAATTGGAATGAGTACACTCTAAACCTTTTAACGAGGATCTATTGGAGGGCAAGTCTAGTGCCAGCAGCCGCGGTAACTCTAGCTCCAATAGCGTATATTAAAGTTGTTGCGGTTAAAAAGCTCGTAGTTGGATCTCAGTCGCGCTCCCTTCGATGCGTTGCAAAGCGTCTATCGTTGGGGCCGACAGCACGTTGGTGGGCCCGGTTGGCTTTTACCGGTTGATCGGGTTCTCCGGCAATTTTACTTTGAAAAAATTAGGGTGCTCAAAGCAGGCTGGTGCCTGGATATTGGTGCATGGAATAATGGAATAGGACCTCGGTTCTATTTTGTTGGTTTTCGGATCCCGAGGTAATGATTGAGAGGGACAGACGGGGGCATTCGTATTGCGGCGCTAGAGGTGAAATTCTTGGACCGCTGCAAGACGAACTACTGCGAAAGCATTTGCCAAGAATGTTTTCATTAATCAAGAACGAAAGTTAGAGGTTCGAAGGCGATCAGATACCGCCCTAGTTCTAACCATAAACGATGCCAACCAGCGATCCGCCTGAGTTCCTTAAACGACTCGGCGGGCAGCTTCCGGGAAACCAAAGTTTTTGGGTTCCGGGGGAAGTATGGTTGCAAAGCTGAAACTTAAAGGAATTGACGGAAGGGCACCACCAGGAGTGGAGCCTGCGGCTTAATTTGACTCAACACGGGAAAACTCACCCGGCCCGGACACCGGAAGGATTGACAGATTGATAGCTCTTTCTTGATTCGGTGGGTGGTGGTGCATGGCCGTTCTTAGTTGGTGGAGCGATTTGTCTGGTTAATTCCGATAACGAACGAGACTCTAGCCTACTAAATAGACCCACGGTCCTTTGTACCGTGAGCGGGTCTTCTTAGAGGGACAGGCGGCTTTTAGCCGCACGAAACAGAGCAATAACAGGTCTGTGATGCCCTTAGATGTCCGGGGCCGCACGCGCGCTACACTGAAGGAATCAGCATGTGTCTACCCTTGTCCGAAAGGACCGGGTAACCCTCTGAACCTCCTTCGTGATGGGGATAGGGGATTGTAATTATTCCCCTCGAACGAGGAATTCCCAGTAAGCGCGAGTCATCAGCTCGCGTTGATTACGTCCCTGCCCTTTGTGCACACCGCCCGTCGCTACTACCGATTGAATGGTTTAGTGAGGTCTTCGGACTGGTTCATTGATCAGTTTCGGCTGTTATTTGAGCCGGGAAGATGATCAAACTTGGCCATTTAGAGGAAGTAAAAGTCGTAACAAGGTTGCCGTAGGTGAACCTGCGGCAGGATCATTACCGTTCCGTGCGTCGGCCGAATGGTTCTGGATCCTGATATGGATCGGGGTGGAAAAATGGGGGCGAGGCCTCGCGGTCAGAGCCGCGGCGGTTTTCGCCCCGGGCCCGCGGGAGCGCGCGGGCCGACGAGCTGTTGGCGGTGCCTAGAGCATCGTCCTTCCTCCTGGAGCGTGGAGGTGGGGCGTGCGTGTGACCTCCTTGGAGCGTTGGGAGGTCGCTAGGTCTAACGAGGGGGACTGGAGCCCGATCTCCCCGCCGTCGTCCGGGTGGAGCCTCTTTAGGGCGGGTGTGTGGCGCAGCCGAGAGCGCGCCGTCCCCGTCCGGCCCGGGCACCCTTATTTAAAATAACCTACCTTCTCTTTGTACCCCGCAAAGTCCAACTTGGAGCGTCGGAAAGCCGAGGGCGCTGCCGCCGATACGGAGAGTCGGCGACAAAACTCTCGCGCACGTCCGCACAACTTTGTACAACTCTGAACGGTGGATCACTCGGTTCTCGGGTCGATGAAGGACGCAGCGAGCTGCGTTAAGTGGTGTGAATTGCAGGACATTTTGAGCACTAAAGCTCCGAATGGACATTCCGGACTCGAGATTCCCGTCTCGGGTCCGTGTCCATCCGAGGGTCGTATGCAACTCCGAGGGAGAGATCGTCTGGTCGACGCTATGAGCGGCGTCCCGGGTCTCGCCTCC